TATATATATATATATATGGTTTGTTGATTAAAAACCAGTTAATTTACTTTTTTGGGATTTTTTTGCTGACATTTAGTCTATATTCAGTATTTATTTTGACAAATAATAAATTGATTACATTCCTGATTTCAGCATTGATGTGGATCTTTATGAACTATAGGGTTTTTTTCCCTTGACATTTATTTTTTTTCAATTGTTTCTTTTTTGTGTGTGTGTGGTTTAATTACTTACATGAGTAGTATTGTTTATTTTTAAAAGTTACTTCTTGTTTTATGTGTCAACAGTCTACATAACGAATGCATATATAATTTTTCTGATTTTTGTAATAGCAAGAGAGGCTATATTTATATTTTATATTATTTGATGTTTTAAATTGAGTGATTTAAGGCATATAGCATATAAAATGATTAGGTAAATTTAGCTTTATTTGTTATATTTATAAGGACAATTTTATAATCATAAAGAGCACAAAAAAATCTTTTTTCTTCCCTTTAGATTGCAATTAGGTCAATGTAAAAGGCTAAAAACACACTCTCATCTATATTAATTAACTAATGAACTAATTTATTAACTGTTCCTTCTGGAAACATAAAATGTCTTAGTTCTTGCTTTAAATAACCATCACTTTAATTCTTACTGCATGTGATAAGAAACTCCACTAATTACAAAACTAGCCTATTTCAGAGTTGAAAAAGATCAGTAATTATGGACATTAATTTGTTCCATCAGACAAAGTGTAATTGCATTAGTATTTTATAGTAAATCAAATAATTTAACATTTTGGAAAATATATTTTAGACATTTAAGTATATAGATTCTGATAAGTTTTAGTAGAAAAATTTTAGGCTGTTTTGCCACTCTTGAGAGGCTTCCATTTTTCACTTATTGTACCAGGTGTGTGCCTCGTTGGGAAGTAGGTAGGAGACCTGGAAAATCATGGCCAATATAAGACTTGATTTCCTGCACAGAGCTTATAGTGAAATTGTGAACAGGTCTGCTATTCTTTAGACAATCTAAGTAATGCTTAAACATTTGGGCTCTGAAGTAAACCTAACTTGACTACTGGCTCATCCACTTACTAATTTTGAGAACCTGAGCAGGTCACTTAATTCTTTTGTTTCTATCATTTATTTAATAAGTTTATAATGGTCTTTATCTTGAACTTTTGTATTAAATTAGTGCATCAAAACAGCTTGAGAGAGTGCTTAATACTTAGTAAGTGCACAATAAATGTTTCCACCATTGCTGCCACCATTAGAATCATTATCAACTTTTTCCTTTTGGAAGGACTTTATAGCCATGTTCTCCTACTCCCTTAATATGATCATCACCACCCTTCTGCTTCTTGTTTTCAAGTCTATTAGAGTTTGAACTTTAATTATAATTTATGTTGCTTTTTTTTCATAAGTAAAATTAATGAAAGCAAGCAGTCAGTCTCAGGATCTTTTGGTTTGTTCTTTCCTTTTAGCTCCTCATAGTATATTTTGGGGCTAACTAAACTTTGTTTCCTTCTGTGTTATTAGAATTTATCTGACTAGAATTGAACAAAGAGAATTGTTAAGGATTGTTCTGCCACTTGTGCTATATTACTTATCATACATTTTATGGAATTATATAAATGTTCCCAAGGGAATATATAATGAGAAAATTGCTTTTAACAGATTTAATTCCTTTTAAGGATTATCCTATTAAATAATCTCAAGCAACTAGTGTTACATGGGAAAGAGCAGAAGAGTTAGTACTGGATAGATTTTGGTTTGGCCACCCATGTCATTTAGGTGAATTATTTAACCTCTGAGTCTGTTTTCTCCTCTACAAATGTACATACAGTTACATATACATAGCCATAATTATCTTTTTGTGTTTTGAGGATTTAATGAGATTATATATGTGAAGTGACTCTCTCATAGTAACTCCTGTATGTGGAAGACAATTAGGAAATGCTGACTTCCCTTCTTTAAATGGTGATAATCTATTCAACTAGTTTTACCTTAAAGTTGGTTTTGAATAACTTCGATGCAATTTTTCTTATTTCCCTGAGCCAATCTTGAATGATTTAAAAAACAAAACAAAACTTTATTGATTTCAGAGAGAGGAAAGGAGAGGGAGAGAGAGAGATAGAAACATCAATGATGAGAGAGTCATTGATTGGCTGCAGTCGGCAACCCGGGCATGTGCCCTGACCGGGAATCGTACCCTGATCGCCTGGATCCTAGGTCGACGCTTAACCACTGAGCCACGCCCGGCCGGGCTTGAATGATTTTTAAGGTCTAACTATCAGGCAGAACTTTAATGAAAAAGTATCTTTACTAATTCTCAAAATCAATTATTCTTATTTATGTCCTTCACTATCAGCTGGTAGTATAAAAAAGTATGATTTTTCAAATACCATTCTAATTTGACTATACCCTACATTTTCCCTCATACATATATTAAATGCGTAATACATGCCATGCTTATTGTGGGCACTTGTAAATGAGAAAGGGTTGGAAAAAATACTGATATGAAAGAACAATTTGGTGTGTTTGTGGGGAGTGTGCAGTAGCATGTTATCAAGTAAGACTAGAGCTTGAACTGAGTTGGACAGGAGGAACAGCTATCTTCGTTCAGTGGAAAGGGTTGTGACAGTTATGGGTTAGTTCCCTGCTTTATTCTTTGAATCCTACCAGATCATTGTTCTCTCTGTGACCTCCAGCATCTCTTATGTGTAACTTGGTGCCTGAAGGCTTTTTCCAGAACCCAGCCTTTGTGCTCTTCAGGCTTAGGAATTAATAGTTCACATCCCTTCTCTCCAGAAGTCTTCCGCTAGTGACTAATGGGAGGTGGGTATGTAAATGCTCCAGCTCCTCCACCTCTGTATGTTTTATACTGTTTTTCAGAGATTACTTTGGTATTAAACTCCAGTTACCCACTGGAGTTTAATATTAAAGTGGTAGCTACTTTAATATTGTACCCTATTCAGGCTACATTGCCTTCCTTATTTTACTTTCCCATCCGCCTACTACTTGTACTGAATCTTGATCTCAAGGTCTACTTCAGTAGGAACCCAAATTAAGATAAAGATATTTCTGGTTTGGTAGATTAATCCATTCTTAGTTTTTCTAATATCTTTGTCATCAGGGAAACAGTTAAGTGCATGTTTTAAAAAATTAATTGTGATTTTGGTGTTCACTGAGAACACTTTGTAATAACCAAGTTGATTATGGGTAATAGCAAATATAAACTTATTATATTTGCTATTTATACATATAAATGTATTTATATTTTAGTGCTTTCAGTTTACTTTCTCAGTATTACATATACATTATATTCATTTTGGGAACAGATAAGAACACTATCAATTATGAGAATCATTGCTATATCATTGAGTTTACTCAAGTGAAAGCACAGACTCCCCATCCTTATTGGTTATAGAGAAATGTTTATTAAATCATAAAATTAATGAGATGTGTGTGGTTTTGGAGGAAGAGAAGCATGAGCATTTTTAAAAGCTTTACTATAGGTAAAAAAATGTGTTAAATTTCTTTAGTGAGAAGGACATTGTCTTAAATGTGTCTTAAAATTGTTTATGAAAAATTTTATAGGCAGAAAATGCATGGATTCTCACAATGAACTCATATCGAAGTGAATTTAAAAATTTAAATTATGTACATATATACATATATGTAGATATACATATATATCTAGATGTATTCATTAACTCATTCTTACAGTGTCTGAAGCAGATTATTCATGGTAGATGCTTGATACTTTTTAAAAAAATGAGCTCTTTATTTCTCAAAAAGGAGTGTTTCATTCAATTCTGTACTTATTCAATAATTCAATGATTATATATTTACTTCAGTAATTATCCATTTTATTCTTGGCCCTAATATGATACTTGAGATATGAAGTGAATAAAGCAGATAACAGTTCATGTGTTTACTGAGTGTTTGATACAATATTCCGTAGGATGATAGGCATTACAAAAGTAAATACATGTGAAGAAGTTTTTGACCATGTAAGTGTAATGGACTCTGAGAACATATAGTAAGGGGATTTAAAGACTTAAGTGTATAGCCCTGGCCGGTGTGGCTCAGTTGGTTGAGTGTCAACCCCTGTCCTGGGAGGTTGAAGGTTCAATTCCTGGTCAGAGCACATGCCCAGGTTGTGGGCTCAGACCCCAGTAGGGAGCATGCAGGAGGCAGCTGATTGATGTTTCTCTCTCTCCCTCTCTCTCTCCATTCCTCTCTCGCTCAAATCAATAAAAACATTAAAAGAAAAATAACCAAAGAAACATAGTACAATAACTTAAAAAAAAGACTTAAGTGTACAATGTTAATGTTTGACTTTTTGGGGGAAACAGAAGTGTTACTCTGAAAAAGTAGTAATTTTTTATCTGGTAGTTCACACTGTTGTCTTTTGCTGATTGATTACCATATTTATATTATTTCATTAGGAGCTGTTTATATTATATTTCAATCGATATAACATGAACATTTTTGTATCATGTAAATCTACGCTCCATTTCTTAACTAAGTTACTGCCTCTTCTAAAATTTATTTTGTGTCCTAGGATCTAGTTCAGGAAACATGAGTAGGCATTTATTAAATATTTGTTGAATAATTTGTACTTGTTTGTGCATTTGAGCTCTCTTGAATGCTTTGGGTCTGTAAAACTCTTCAGAACCACTCAAAATCAAAATTGGTATCATAAGTTACTTTTGAGATTCTTGCCTTGGTGATTGTGAAAGGGAGAAAAAAATGTAACTATGGTATTTTGGTAAGTACTATGTGTTTAGTTTGCATAATATAAGAGGTCTGATGAATTTGACTATGTCTAAATATTTCACCAGCTCTTAATTTTTATGCATAGGTGTACTTATCCAAAATTAGTATATTTCTGGGTGGCTTATGTTAGTTTTCAACAGGTAATTTTTATTTCCCCCTCTTTTTTAAAAATAAGCAGGATTGCTTCACAGTGGATGGGGAAGATTTGAAGCATGACTTTGAACGCTTACAACTGGCCATGGAAATGGTAGGATTTCTTCCCAGGACACGAAGACAGTGAGTTTATTTATTGTATTTTTATACCCTCAGTAGAGAACAAATTATGATGTGTGTTTAAAAAATTCCTCTTTCTTGGTCTTTTGAAACAGTTTTATAGTTCTGATTTAGTGCCTCTTCCATCTTAGACATGGCTTAGAAAATTTACTTTTCTAAAAGACTTGTTTTGAATTGCTTTTTTTGTCATAAATTCTTTGAGATACTTTGAGAATCAGTTGAAAGCAGGAGCTCTTCTTCCTGTAAAATTTATATTTATAAACATTTGCATGTAATTGTGTTTCTGATGCCCCTGAAGCCTCTTTGTGGACCTTACCTAAATGCTGTTGCTTTATAACACTATTTTTATAGCTTCTTGTTTTCTGTATCATTGATCTCTAATCTTATTAAAAGCACACAAACCTATCAGTAAAACATAATTTTCCATGTATTTCCTCTGTAAATTTGTCTGTACTGTTGTACTAAGCATTTTGTTTATTGTACTAAATATAAACAAAATAGAAATGTAAAAAGGTTGATATAAAGATGAAGTAAGGCCTGTCTGGCATGGCTCAGCAGTTGAGCATTGACCTATGATTTGGGAGATCATGGTTCAATTCCTAGTCAGAGCACATGCCTGGACTCGATCCCCAGCAGGGGGCGTGCAGTAGGCAGCCAATCAATGTCTCTCATCATTGATGTTTCTCCCTCTCTCTCCTTCTTCTCTCTCTCCTTCTCTCTGAAATCAATAAAAACATATTAACAAAAAATTAAAAATGGAACTGCCTTTTGACCCAGTGATCCCACTACTAGGAATATATCCTAAGAATCCTGAAACACTAATCAGAAAAAATATATGGACCCCTATGTTCAGAGCAGTGCAATTTACAATAGCTAAGATGTGGAAACAGCCCAAATGCCCATCAGTAGATGAATGGATAAAAAAGCTGTGGGACATATACACCATTGAATACTATAAAGCTGTAAAGAAGAAGGATCTTGTACCCTTTGGGACTGTATGAATGGACCTGGAGAATATTATGCTAAGTGAAATAAGCCAGGCAGAGAAAGACAAACATCACATGATCTCGCTTATATGTGGAATCTAAGCACAATAATCTGATGAACAAAATAGATTCAGTGACATAGAAGCATCAAACAGACTGATGAATGTCAGAGGGAGGGGGAGGGGGGTGGGGAGAGATTAACCAAAGAATTTATATGCATATATGCATAACCCATGGACACAGACAGTACTGTGGTGGAGTCCTGGGGTGGGGAGTGGGTGTGCAGTAGAAGGGGTCAATGGGGAAAAAAAGGGGACATCTGTGATATTTTGAACAATAAAAAAAATAAAAAATAAAGATGAAGTAAGTTATATGTAACATAAAACAAACTAAAATTAAAGACACAAATAACCTTGACTCTCACCAGAAAAAAATTGTAACATAACTTTTTAAAAAAAACAGAATAGTTTATTGATTTTTAGAGAGAGAGGACGGGAAAGGGAAAGAGGGAGAAACATCGATGTGAGAATATAACACTGATTGGCTGCACGCTCCCTACCTGGGATCCAACCCACAACCCAGCATGTGCCCTGACTGGGAATCGAACTGGCAACCTTTTGGTAGATGAGATGACGCCCAAGCAACTGAGCCACACCAGCCAGGGCTATAACTATTGTTTTTGAGGAGGGAATTAATGTAGATAAATATGTTGGATTTGGTTATATTGTCAACTTTTAATCTCATACTAGGAGTAGAAAAATATCGGCTCTAACATTTTCTTGTTTGCTTGTGATTACATTATTGGAACGAACCTTCAGTGAGCAGATTATTTGCCAGAACCTTTTTATGAAAGATAAGTTAAAAATAAATAATATGTAAATATGCAAACCCACTTAATTAGTGACATAAGCTGTGATTTACTTGAAAGTTATGAAATAAATGAGGGTACCCTGTCAATTTCTCCATGCTGTATTATATATAGTCTCCCCCAGGATACTACATTTACTTCATTTGATACCATACTGACTTACGGACTGAAGTGTCAATCTATATACCAAGTAATAGTGAAACTTAATTTCATTTTTTTTAAAGATATAAGATAGATAACATAAGCTAGAAATACAATATTTACTTTTCACACACTAAGGATGTCTTTTATACTCTCTGATGTGACAGTATCCCATATTGGAAACTACTGAAAATACTATGTTCATAGTAGCCTGACATTCAATGTGACTGTTCTCTATTGCTCAAATATTATCTTGAGATATTTCCTAACACAAATTTTACATTTTAACTAGACTGATAATGTTCTCTAAAACGTTGTATTCTGAACATTCACTATTTTCTTCATTCCATGAAGGAATGATCTTCATCTCTTTTTCACTCATTCAAACACTCCTATTTTTGGGGTAGAAGGCATATCATGTGTACTGCTATTCTCCTCTGCTGTGACCATGATTTAATCTGCTAATAAATCACAAATTTCTTTTCTATTGCACTCAGATCCACCCCAGTATTCCTCTTAATATAACCTTGCAGACAGCCTAAAATTTGGATTGAAACCTGTTTGCTTTAGAGTACTGTTCATGTCCTACCTTTTTAATGAAAATTTTCTTTAACTGTACATTGTTTTTGCCTTCTGTGTTTTATGGTATCCTGCCCTATAGTATGACTATTGTTATCTCCTAATGGAAGATTATAAGCTTTTTGATAACAGGGATTCTTATTTATATTTATTAATCTTTTTTATATTGAATTATAGGATATTGATTTGCTTATATGATGTTTCCTATTGCTGGAGTCTATGCATCACATATTTGTGCGTGAGGAAACATTAAAGTGCTGATTTTTGAGCCCAAAGTTCTGAAACAGTGTAATTAGCAACCATAGAAACTACTGCTAAAAACAGTTTTTGAAAAATGGCTCAGGGCCCAGCCAGCGTGGCTTAGTGGTTGAGCACCGACCTATGATCCAGGAGATCGAGATTCAATTCCTGGTCAGGGCACATGCCCAGGTTGCAGACTCGATCCCCAGCAGGTGGGGTGTACAGGAGGCAGCCGATCAGTGTCTCTCTCATTATTGATGTTTCTATCTCTTTCTCCCTCTCCCTTCCTCTCTCTGAAATTGGTAAAAATATATTTTTTAAAAAAAAGGCTCAGGAATTAGTGCTTTCATGTCTTTTGGCTTCCATTTATTTTTTATAATGTTTCAGTTGGTACTAAGTTTCCTCTTTAATTTAACACAGCCTACTTTTATGACTTATTCCTGTATAACTGACTTGTATGTTTGAATCATTAAATTTAAAAAAATTATTTAAGAAATTAGGTCTATAAGTTAGATGCTGGTTTAAAAAAATCTTTAATGAGAAATTAGGCCTATAAAGTAGATATTGACTCAGGACCTCTGAAAATATAGCTGTTAGGTCCCTAAAGCAGTATCTTTTTTTATTTAGAATGCTTCCTAATTTTAGGAGAACACATAGTTAAAATTTCATAAGTAGGACAGATTTATCCTAAGGAAATAAAGTGGTCAAGGCACAAAGATATGTATTTATATGGATTTCCATGAATGGCTTTTAGATGGAGTTATGTTCAGTTTTAGATGTTCAGTTGTCTTAAGTGCCTTTGAGATGTCAGGTAAGTTAAGGAATAATATGCTTTTCTTAGTTATGTGGTAGTCCTTGGTAACCTTTATGAGACATTTTAGATTCCAGATGTGATAGTAAATAAAGAATGACAAAATGAAGACAAGGACTATAGTTAATGCTTGTTTGTGAAGGCAAGGAAGAAGATGTGGGATCTAGGATGGGTTTTTTAAAGTAAGAGAGAAATGATCATGAGATTATTTTGATAGAAAGTTCTTGTAGGGTCAGGTCAGAGGAAGGAAAAAGGTATAATAATGTTTCCGAGTAAACTGGAGTTCATGGGATGGAGAGCACAAGTGGAGGGGTTGCTTGTTGACAGGAAGGAGGGGCATATGTTCCTCAGAGACTGGAGGAAAAGACAAAAGGGAGGGTCCAGAAGTAGATGTTTCACAGTAGGGCCTGATATTAGGTAATATACCCCAATGGCCTCAGGCTGTTTTTTAAAATTATTTATCAAAGGTACCATAACATGATGTAGGAAAGCCTTTCTTAAATATAACTACTACTAAAAAAAAAGTCACCTAGGATAGGTGGTTAAAAGTACAGATTCCAAGGCCTTAAATATTCGGTACATCTTAAATAGACAGTGTAGGGAAAGGGCATTCCAGTCAGGATGAAAAACATTTAGGAAGGCTTGGACTTTTGAAACACTACAAGAGATTCAGATAATAGTAAGTCCCCTTCAGACAACTTTTCTGACAAGTCATTGGTAGAATACTGAAATTAAGGTTTTGTAAAGCATTTTGCACAGTGACTAACATAGTAAACACTCAATAAATTTTAGTTATAGTTATAATTATTATTCCCATATTTCTTATTTTCTAAAGACTATGTCATATTTGTACTAGTGAATTTGCTTGATTATAATTTTTGGGATGAAATAAGCTTAGAGAATGCACATAAGCAAGCTGTAATTTGTCATTTTATTTTTGCAGGATTTTCTCTCTTCTCTCAGCAATACTACATTTGGGTAATATCTGTTATAAAAAGAAGACATACCGGGATGACTCCATAGATATCTGTAATCCTGAAATTCTGCCTGTTGTCTCAGAATTATTAGAAGTGAGTGATTACATTCTCAACTGTCATTTCAAATACTGGGTAACTTCTGTTTGCATTTTGTGTAACTATTTTGTAGGGGTAAATAGGTTAATGCTTTTTATTAATGGTGTTTATCCAAAAGATGGAAATGTTGCTATTGCATATGCCGTAATCTTTAGAAGATATGGGTTTTCTCCCCTGCCTCCTCTTACCCCAGATATCCATAATCCCTCAATTTGCTGTATAGGATGAATATTTCACTTATGACTGTATAATGTTCTAGCCTTTGATAGTTTTTCTTCTATATTTGAGATTTCTTTTCATACTAATAATTTGATTAGATTATTTTATTTGAAGATGGGGTATCTGGATTGGTGGGGAGAAAAGAATACTAATTTTTTTTTCTTCATAGTTGTATAGGGATCTCCTACCATGCTTCTTTCTATATCAAGGTCTTTATTATTACCTTGTTCTTTGTTTCTGCAGTGATGATATCTCATGCTTTCCTAGCTAACTTCTCTTCTTGCCAGATTCATTTGTGTCATTTTTTACAGGCCCTTTCCTCTGACAGAGTAAGGAAATACATGTGTGTATACTAACCTGGGTATATTCATATATCTACAAATATTTTTTCTAAACTGTCTATAATATAAAGACGAAGTCATGCCAATGTTTCTGACTAATCCATTATCACATGTATCATTCTAGCCTTCTCCCCTTACATGCTGTATGAGTTCTGGCAAAGGCATAATGTCATGTATTTTTTGTTACACAGTATCATACAAAATATTTTCCTTGCCCAAAAAATCTCCTTCACTTATTCAGCCCCTCCCGGCTAATGCTTGGGAACCACTCATCTTTTTACTAACTGTAGATTTGCTTTTCCTAGAATGTAACATAATTGGAATCATATAGTACGTAGCCTTTTCAGACTGACTTGTTTGACTTAGCAATATGCATTTAAGATGCATCCATGTTTCATGTCTCAATAGCTCATTTCTCTATATTGTGGGGTAATATTCCTTTGTATGGATATACCATAGTTTGTTTATCCATTCACCTATTAAAAGACACCTTCATTGTTTATAGGTTTTTTTTTGCAATTATGAAGAGCTTGCTTTTTTTTTTTTTTTTTTTTAATATATCTTTATTGATTTCAGAGAGAGGAAAGGAGAGGGAGAGAGAGATAGAAACATCAATGATGAGAGAGTCATTGATCGGCTGCAGCCCGCAACCTGGGCATGTGCCCTGACCAGGAATCGAACCCCAATCGCCTGGATCCTAGGTCGACGCTTAACCGCTGAGCCACGCCCGGCCGGGCGAGCTTGCTTTTTTCCTATTAAAATATTACTCATCTCTGAAGTCTTCGTTCATGTGCCAGTTCATGAGATTTAACCTTGTTAAATGGTCTAAACGGACTCCATCAGTTTCTGCTTAACATAATTTGTTTTTGGTTGTGTAGCAGAAAGTTAATTATTTACTAGTTTATGTCCATTATAAGGTGGCAGTGCTCTTTGAGAGCAATGGATGCCTCTTTCTTGTTTATCTAACCTTATAGTATTTATTATTTTGTACATACCTGGGCATTGCTTATTAACTTTAATGGAATGAGTTAGCCTGGCAGAAGGGGCGGGAGAAGGGAAGAGTACCTTAATTTGGAACTAGACTCACTCATTGGAAAGAAATTCTACCAGGATGTTGAGTGTGGTATCTAAAGGTTGTAATTTTGAAGGTCATGAAGGTCAGAGAACAGATGGTATTTCAGTTAGGCATTTCAGGTGATATTTTAGTTAAACATTTGGCATTGTGGTAATACAGGGATTGTGGCTGGTGATCTTATAAGTTCAGGCATTCAGCAAGTACCTAGGCTTCTGGTTCTAGTGCAGTATTTCTTCTTTGGTGGGAGACTGGTAAGAGCAATTCAGGCAATTCAAAGAGGATCTCATGTATTGGTTAAAAAAAAGAAGAAATCCCATCCTGAGAATGCTTCCCAGTGTCAGAGTCAGGCTAACAGCAAATGTGATTTGATAGCACATCTCACTTTAGAACCTAAGCTTTTAAAATTCTTTCTTGATATATATAGTTTGGACTGGTTCTGGGAATAAGGGTTTGGTAATAAGTAGAAAGAAGATATCTTCAAAGTCGAGGAGCTAGAGAAGATATGACATCCCCTATCTATAGTTAGTTCTTAGCAATTAAAAGGAAAAGATCCTTATTGGTTATAATTGATAATAATGATTATATTCTTAAGGCTTTTGTTGAGATAAAATTAAAAGGTAGGCACAGTAACTAGTTTAATTAAAATGTAAACTCTTTAGTTAAGGTTTAACTTAATTTTCCTCTTTCCCAAGTGATTCTATTCAATGATAAATACAGATTTAGTTTATAAGAACAAATGTGTTTTAAAAATTTCATTTATTTATTTATTTTTATATGAAAAAATGTTTTTATTATTTTTTTATTTTATTATTTTTTACACTTTATTTCATTAAAAAAAAAATACATCTTTATTGACTTCAGAGAGAGGAAAGGAGAGGGGAGAGAGAGACAGACAGAAACATCAATGATGAGAGAGTCATTGATCAAGCCTGCATGTGCCCTGACTGGGAATCGAACCTCGATCGCCTGGATCCCAGGTCGGGCATAAGAAAAAATGTTTTTAAAATAATGGTTTAATTTGCCCTGGCCGGTGTGGCTCAGTTGGTTGGGCATTGTCCCATGTAATAAAAGATTGCCCTTCCTTCCTTCCTCCCTT